TTTTTTTTTTAAAATAGACACGAATAATAAAATATAAAGAAAATTCTTCGAAAAAATTCGAGAATTCGAAGAAATATTTAGCTACAGGGATATTTCGATATATTTTCCTCGTCATAAAATTGCACTGCACGGATATATTTCTACCTTGAGGTTTTCAAAAATCTTTAAAATTATTTTAAAAGAACAATTTATTAGTGTAATAAAGAAGAAAACAAGAAAAGAAAAAAAATCTACGATCTTTTAATCTGTTCCAATAAATAACGAAATGACGAAAGAAACAAGCATTTAGAAGAATCTACATCTTATTATTTCTTTCGAGAATTTAAACAATTTGAAAAAAAAATTGAAAAACAAATATATCCAATAGATTTTGTATCTTTCGACGAAAGTATGTAATATTCTATAAATCCATTATTTAAAATTCTTAATCAACGTATATATATAATAAAAGAAAGAGCATTTACGTATACACGAAAAAATTTAATTGAATTGCAAATTTAAGCGTAAAAAGAGGGAAATGTATCGCTTTGTTTCGCGATTTTGCTCGCCAGGTTATTTTCGTAGAGCTCAATTTCAAAATCTAAGCGTTCTTCCTTCTTCCACTTCGTGGCCTCGATTCGCTGGATTCCTCCATCCTCTCTATCATCTTTCCGTTTAATCGGTGCGAATAAATACAGCGAGAGAAAATGACAAGAGGAAATTAGACCCACTCGTTCGTTTGCCGTTCCTTTATTTGCCCGATCTTTAACTCTTGTTTTATCGTTAAAAGAATCGCGATAATAAAATGAATAAATTGATCGCAATTTTTACACGAATTATTTATATGCCAAGCGAAATTATTATCATACGGATTAAATATTCTCGAAAATTTAAAATATTTTGCCTTCGACAGAAAAAAAAAACGAATTTTTTCGTGAAAAATCTTTCTTTTTTTCTCTCTCTCTCTCTATCCATCAATTCCTATACACCTTCTTTTAACATTTCTGAGATTCACGCTCAAACTCCACGTAGCCTCGAATACAAATCCCGAAGATCCAAAATCGCTGTTTTTCCTGTACCAGCATATAGGTCAGTGGGTATATATACGTGTTGTTCGGTTGGCCAACGATACATCGAATTCGTAGGAGACTGGATCCGGTCCGAGGAAGTGGACTTTTTGGTTGGTGGGTACTCGCGACCGTCCCACGATCCTCTCTGAGGACCGCTCTCTGGAAGCAGCGGAGTGGCGGAGGAGGAGTTGCAAGGGCATTAGGCTCCGAATACGGAACGATAAAATTCTTACGAAACGTGTCTCTCCCTCTCCTCCTCTCCCTCCCTCCCTCTCTCCCTCTCCCTTTTCTCTCCCTCTCCCTCTCTCTCTCTCTCTCTCTGTACAATATTTCTCTGGTATAATATTCGTGCATCGAACTGGCACTCTCACGAGAAACGAGAGGCAGAAACGTCGAGGGAAAGGGAGGTCCCCGTCGTTGTGAAGAGGAGGTTGGGCAACGGAGGAACGATCCGAAGAATTCGATGGTTGAAAACAAACCTAACTGGAGGACGTGCTGTTTCGCTTTAGAGGAGACGGCAGACAAGACGTGGGCCCGTCAAAATGTATTTTTGACGGCTGTTTGACAAGCTTTTAACGTTCTCCCCTCCCCCCTTCCGTTTCACTGCCTCCTTTCCGCCTCCACGTCCGCGCGATGCTTTTTCGCGCGTCCTGCACGCTCGTTCTGCGACTTCGTTATTTTTGCGATCCGCGAGCCGAATTACGTAAGCGTGCCGCTCTGCCTATGGAAAAGGTTACCGGAAGGTGGCAGATACCGTTTCTAGAGATAATGAGCGCGAGAATCGTGATTTTCGGAGGCTATGGAACGATAGAAGGATGCGTTCGAGGGAAGGTAACTTTTGTTTTTTTTTTGTCTTGAAACTTCCTGTGCTGGAATTTTTTTTTTTTTTTTATATAATCAAGTAGATTTGAATGATACGTTTGGTTATCGCGTTTGAAGTATAATTCTTTTATATATTTGTAAATTTGTATCTGTATATTTAATCGTATTTAATTATTAATAATCGATTATTTCGATCAATCCCGTTACAATGTTATTACACCAGTGACATTTTGATATAAAATTGGTCTCACTCTGACTAATCGATAAGGATCTTTTGGTTTCCGGTTCCGCTATCAACCATTTCGATTTGAATTCAACATTGTTCTCGCATTTATTCGAGCTCAATAGCCACGCTTCCAAGGCCGTATCAATAAACTTCTTGTTCCCCGGAAAAAAGAATGCACAATAAAAAGACCAGAGATCCAGTTAACTTTAGTAAATCAACATTAAAGCATCATTCAATAGCTTAGAAAATCTGTTAATTCGTTCACTCAAATGAACGAATTATCTCCGACGAAAAAATATTGAAATATTTAATTTTTAATTTAATTTTTTGGCATCGAACGTATTTAAAAACGTATTTAAAAATATTCGAAAATGACTGCAAACTTCCGCCACGTTTATTCCTCTCCGATTAATTTGGTACCCGCATTGGGAAAAACCGCAATTAAGGATGTTGGCACTATCAGGCGTTTGAAATTCCCCAAGAACGTAGCCGCAGAAAAATTTCGTTTTTATCAACGACATTATTAATTTCGTGCTTTATGGAGGAGATAGGTTTGATAGGAAGATAAATCGACAGAAATGGAATAAATGTTTCGAAAAATTTTTTATTTTTGTTTATTTCTCTTCTTTTTTTATTTTTATTTTTTTTCTTGAACCATCTTATTAAATAATTCCACGAAGCGTAATCGATAAACTTGTTTTTCTTCCGTTCCAAACGGAAATAATTATTTAAAAAACAAAGAGAATCATTAATATTATAAGATGCTAAGTCATTAATGCGATAAGATCTTCTAACATTTATGAAAGAGCTCCGATTTTTTATTTGTTTCAAATCAACTTCAAAAGTTTGATAATATAAAACTCAAATTTCGATTCTTCACCTGTTCCTTACAAAATCATCGATTCCAAAAGCTTAAACTATACTCCTTAATTTTCGATAAATTTGCGTAAACATTTCAAATACTTTTGCTCAGATAAATTATTTGAAGATTTTAATTCTCTATCCCTTATAAACAAATTTTGAAAATGAAAAATTAAATTGCAAAGAATTATTTGGAATTCTTTAATAGAGAGAACAGGCGAAACGTATTATTGGGCTTCAGCCAAGAACCTTCATCCCTATACATCTTATTCTCTAGATATAACATGTATCATTTATTCTTTTTTTTATTCTTTATCAAATCTGTTTAATTCTTTAAAAAATTAAATAGACTAAAAATTTTCAATATCTATTCGAAGAAAATTTATCGAAACAAAAAAGGTAAAGTAAATTTAGAAAAATTATTCAATAAAGATATGCATCGTTATTTGATATAAAATGATTCCGCGACACAAACGAAACTCGAATGTAAAGAGCAAAGAGATATTAATTCAACCAACTCGAACTATCAACCGCACATCCGCACTCTTAATCTCTGTTCTTGTTTCAGGTTAAATGGTAATCTAAACCGATCATGTACAACCTGAATGTGAACGTGAATCCTAGTCCGGCGGCTGCCGCGAGTCTTCTCGGTGTCGCGGCGGCCGAGGTCACACCAAGGACACCGGAAATCGTAAACTCCCTCATCGCCATGACCAATCCCTTCGAGGGCTACACGAACGAGAAGAGCAGGGATCGTACGGATTCGACTAGCAGCGGTGAGCCGAGCCCACCGAGTGTTCAGCACACCTGTAGTCAGCTCATTAAAGAAGGTACCCATCCGGTGGTGGCCTTGATAATATCCTACCAACTTCTCTCCGCAGATTTTTTGTTATTCTTCTTTCTTTCCCCCCGAATCTCGCGATACATCCAAGGTTATCCAGGATTTAATGGTGATTCTGATATATGGTAGGAGAATCTTTTAAAAGAGAAAAAGGGTAGGAAAAAGTATAGTTGTGATCTCTTGGTTATTTAATGTATTCCGAAAAAAAAAAAATTATAGAGAAAATTGATAATATATTTCTTTTTTTTTTATTACAAAATTATAAAATTAATAGGGATTTAAAGAAAAAATTTTTAAATATTTAATCACGACAGAATAACATTTAAAGCTTTAAAATTTCTGCTTTATCTAGAAAAGGATTTTATATAAAACATTTAATTTTCCGATTGCAAATTCTAATTAATGATTTTTTTATATATTTTAATGGATCACAATTTACTTTAATGAGTTATATTCTACATATATATTGAGAAAAATTCTTTTGTTCTCATCTTCGATGACAATTTGTATGATTAAATATCTAATATATTTATAGGATTGAAGTTGACGCTACAAACGAAAAGAAGAGCCAACGGAAGCGGGGATGACACGAAGAAAAAGACAAAGAAGGAAGACGGGAGTGCGGATGACGAGGAGGAAGAAGAAGCGGGCAACAACAATAACCGCGGTGGAGTAAGAAATCTTCACATAATTCTCGTTTAAACGATAAAGCCAGTCGTGATGTCCGGCAATTCGCGCTGTAAGTCGTCGTTTCATCGATTTCACGGGTTTTCGAGTCAAACCGGACATTTATTCCAATCAATTTTCTTCTCTTATTTATTGCTCCGATCAAGAATTCAATCGTTAAGCTATAAGATAAATTATTTTCATATTATATTACAGAAATATTGTAACATTTTAAATTAATTAAATAATTTTTGTAGTTAACGCCAGAGGATGAGGAGAGGCGTCGAAGAAGGCGCGAACGGAACAAGATAGCTGCTACCAAGTGTCGACTGAAGAAGCGTGAAAAAACAGTGACTTTGGTGCACGAGTCAGAAATCCTCGAAACGCAAAACCACGACTTGAAGTCGCAGATTCAGGAACTGGAGACGCAAAGGCGTAGGCTTGTAGACATGCTAAGTCTCCATGGACCGACTTGTCTGAAACAAGGTGGCACAGACAATTCGTATCAACAGTTTGCAGAGCCTTTGCAGCTGCCCAGTTACCAGGAGAATTTCGTGCAGCCTCCACCAGCATTGAACCAACCTCAGAATTGTGTGACAGAATATCCAGTAAAAGTGGAAGAGTATGAAGCTGACTTTTACCGACAAGGAAGTCCATTTGTACCAACCTCGGATGCAGGTTGTACGGTTTAGTAGCTTTATCGACGTTGTAACAATGCCTACCGCGCCATTTAAAGATTAGTTTCCGTGGAGATTTGGTTTACCGATTAAAGAAAATGATACATGATTCCATTAAAAATTTAAATGTTTGTTTGATGGTGAAAAAATAATTGCATGCATTCCAAGAAGACACGAGAAAGTAATAACATCTATTTAATTGATGGAAGCGTCGTCGAGGTAATTTTGGGAATTTTGTATGTTTTTAAGATTCTTTCGAAGATTCTTAACATTTCCGGTAAACCGAATCTCCCGTTTCTTATAATCGCAAGTCTATAGCTTGTAAGTTGATTATTATTTACATAACAACGCGCTCCTATTTCTCCTTTTCATCCTATTCTTTCTTCTTTTTTCCTTCTATTTCTTAACATTATCCCTTTGCACTCGAAACGTTCGATGTAGAACGCTTGAAGACATTCCTTAAGAATAACCCTTTCTTGAAAGTAAGTAACCAATTCCTTGAAAATAAATACTGTGACATTCTAAAATATAATTAATGTAATCAATAAATATAAGATAGAAACGAATTATTTTTGCGATACTCGATTTATTAATATTAGTATGTTGATACATCGAATATTAAAAGAAAAAAGAGAAAAGAGAAAAAGAAAAAAAAAATTTTATTTTATTTTAATTTGTATTAATTTTTGTATTAAAAAATATTTACGAAAATTTAAAAATAGTCATAAAAAATAGTCATAAAAAATAGTCGAGCATTGCAAAAGTGTTTCGTTATTTTAAGTAAAAGTCGAGAATTTCTTTTACAAATGGCGGTTCGCATCCGATGTCGATTATTTTTTTATGCGACCGCTTTTTCTCGATTTACCAGTGAGAAAAAAAAGTATAATTTGTATAACTCAGCATATAATAAGTCTTCTGATATTGATTACGACTATCTCTCGTATATTGGGACGTGGCTATGTGACGCGTTCTCAAAGGATACTTATAATTATACGAGCAATCGTAATGATATATTTAATACTGTGAAATGTGCATATTTTATACAAATTACATATATTATTATATACGTATACACTCGCAGACACGCACATGTCAAACACATACGCGTCATTACAAACATTAACAAACATATGATATATATATATACATGACGATTAATGACAATGACCGACGACATACCTCAATTTTGTGGGTAGTTACCCTTCTTCAGTGCGTTTGCACGAAAAAATTTTATTTTTTAATTTTCTTTTATATTGTAACTCTGATCATGTGATCGTTGAAATTTTTTAATACACGAAGTAATAGCGACAAGGATGCCAAAGAACCATCAGAAATATCGATCAGAGAATATTTTTATTTTTATGAAAAGATTATATCGGTGGAAAGAAATTAGTAAACGCACTTTGGGCTACGCTTACGCGTTCTGCAATTTACAAAAGCTAGTTTAATACTTAGCCGAATGTTACGATTAATAGTGAAACGCTTTTTTTCTAATCCATGGATTAAAAGATACTTTTTATTCATTTGGAATGTTACCGCCGATTGATATAACAAAGGAAAAGATTTTTCTTGCACTTCATAAAATGTGTGAAGTGAGATAAAGTCTTCCTCTTATTCTTTTGTCAAGAGATTAAAAAGCGTGCACAAGCATTAAGAATATTTTTTTCTTTAACACGCAGGAAGAACATGTAATAGTCACATACATGTGGTGCTATACATATACATACATTAAATATATATATATATATATATATATTTATATATATATTTGCTTTTTATATAAATTTTATTAAGTTGCCTGAAGAAAGTATTTAATAGTTTAATACACATGTTAAATATATATTATCGATGTCTATTTACTAATGCAAAGTTCTGAAAGTAATAGTATATCAAATGTATTGAAACAAAGTTTATATTTATATACAAATTTTTTCTATCTTTAACATATTGAGAGGAGGAACCAAAAAGATAATATTATTGACATGCTAAAAATGCGCAATAAATTTTAATATGCAAATTCTTTAAAAGTATTGCATTTTATTTTAAGTAAAAAATATTCCGATCGTGTTTATGGAATATTCGAAAAATTTTTTTAAATAAAAAATTAGATATAAAATTGATGGTTCTTTAAAAATAAAAGATAGAATTTATTTTGATATAATTATGTTTGCTCTATCCAATACATACTGCCATTATTAAAATTCCAGATACAGTCGCTTATTGTATCTGGCTATAGGTTCGTTGTCTTTTTAGTAAAATATATTAAAAACAAAGTTTTTCTAGAGAATAAAAACAAAATAATTTTAATAACAAGATAGTAAACAGTATATAAGATTTTATTCATTGTAACAAAATCGTACTATTGTCTTTTATTACTGAGTACCTGGCCATGGTTTTCCATGCGACAGCTATTTTTCTTTAGAAAGAATACATTAAATTGAAATTAGAAAAATGGCTGACAAAATTTTAAACCTACGTTGTAACCTAAAGAAAAATTTTATTCTTTAAATAAAAGTGCCTTCAATATATACTAATTATCTATTCTTTATTTTTACTTACAATCATTTCATAAATTTAAAAATAAAAATGTAAATATTGAAAAAATGTACTATCAACAAATACTACACACACATTTTATTATAGAATTCAATATTAATATTACATTCTCATATCTCAGTCACAATCAATTCAAAACAAAATTCATAATTTCATTTTATAAATAAAGATACTTTGGAAAGAGGGAAGGAAATATAATCTTATTAAATCTTAAATATACCTATTCAATGAGTTTATGAACCCCTGAAAGATATAAATAATATAACATCAATATAATTATTTAAAAATTAAAAAGAGATATTAACAATATATAATTAAATTCACTTACACAATGATATTATTAATTGGAATATGAATTAATTTGACAAAGAATCCTATAAAACCCATTATGCAAAAACCAATGGCAGTGGCAATGGCAATTTTCTGAAATTCTAAGAGTCACCAAACAAACAACAAGTTAGAGTAAAACAAAATTCAAGAAATAATCAATGACATTTGTTATAAACTTACCCTTCCTATCAGGTTTTGTGCATCGTTTAATAAGACGAATACTATCTTTCGCAAATTGACGTCCAGGTTCGGTAAGTTTCTTCACCTGATCCATTGTACTTGTGTAACTGTAAATAAAATATTCGTGCAATGAAATTTATGTCGACAAACCATATTTATATTCAATTTTTATAATTAGAATAAACTGATAATATTTGTGTAAAATTTTATACGACGAACGGTGTGCAAAATTACATGTGCTTTTAAACTTATAGTATATCTAAAAAATTGTTATATTTCACTTCAATAAAAAAAAATATATGTATTAATTTTTGGGTTCGGTAATAACAGTTAAAATAACTTATAGGTTACAAAAATTGTCCATTAATGCGTTGTTAATTTTTTTCTTAACTTTCTTTGAAAAGATTAAAAAGTTTTTTTTTAAAACACAGTACTCACAATGTGTATAAATGAAGAACGCTTCACAAACTGTTATATTTGACGTACGAAAAACTACGCTCGTCAGAAGCTGAGGCGCTACGTGGAGACTATGTTGTATGAACGTCACTTCCTGATCACTGATGTTGGAATTATAAAGTCGTAGCACGAACATATAATTTTTTAAATTTGAAAAAAATTTTGTGAAATAATATTAACAGTAATATTAATTAAATTCGAAACAATATTTAAATAATTTATATAATAATTTATAATAATTCGTGTGAATTTATATAATAATTTCCTATATAAAAAATGAATAATGAAAGTTTAAATAATATACATGAAAAAAAATTTGTTTATATAAATAAATTTTCATTAAATGAAAAATAAAAATCAAATAGCAAAAATAATATTAATGAATGATGTTATCTAAAATAAATACATATAAAGTCGTTTCGAGTTTTTTATGTAATAATATTTGTGCATAAATCCCTATACTAGGGAATATAATAGTGGAAACTTTATAATAATTAATAAAATTTTTAGAATACAAAATTTAATTTTTTTTTATTTCAATTTTGGCACGAAATTTTGTTATAATGTTTGTTATATTTGTAATATTATTATTAAATTTATAATATATTATTTGGAAGCAATTGCAAAAAATATTGTATGAAATATTTTTTTTTTTTTTAAATAAAATGACTTTAAAAAATTATTTGAACATATTAGATTAATGTTAAATATATATGAAATTTGTCTACTGGAATAACATACTGTATATCAGTCTTGAGATTTTTTTCATCAGTAACCTTTGATACTTGTGATTATTTGTCAAATGTTAGGATATCATATATAGAAAGTGTACGTTCTAAAATAAAGAAATTAAACATGAATTAATATATTTAAATTAAGTTAAAGTTATTAAATTATTTTATTAAAAATATTTTAATTACATCAAAGAAAATATGGGTAATAGATCTAGCCTTCTTTTACGCGAAGAAGAAATAGCACAAATCCAAGAAGCCACTGGATGTAAGTTTTATTTATAAAATATATATATTTCAAAAAAACATTCGAATTTATTACTGTTTAAGATATAATCTTATTAATAATAAAAATAATCTTAAGATATAATCTAATTTAATTATTAATTTATAATATATTTTATATATTATATTTCCTATTATGAAAATTATAATAATGATCATATATATTTTTTACTATATTTATTTTATATTTGAGAATATTTATTTAATTATTAATATATTTATTTAAAGTGCATTGTAATAATATATATATTTATTGATTAAATTCTTACTTTGTGTTATAGTTACACCAAACCAGATTGAACGTTTATATAGTCGTTTTACAAGTCTTGATCGAGGAGATTGTGGAACTCTTAGTAGAGAAGATTTCCTTAGAATTCCAGAATTGGCAATAAATCCTCTTGGTGATAGAATTGTAAATGCTTTCTTTGATGAAAGTGGTAATGATAGAGTGAATTTCTTACAATTTATGCAAGTGCTGGCTCACTTCAGACCCATTAAAAAAAATAGTCCTAATAGATTAAATTCTAGACAAGAGAAATTAAAATGTAAGTTAATAATGAGCTGATAATAAAATCAAATAAAATTAAATAAAATCAAAAGAAATTTTAAAATATTTTATATTTGTTTATATTTATATTTCAGTTGCTTTCAAAATGTATGATTTGGATAATGATGATTTAATATCAAAAGATGAATTACTAGCTATTTTGCATATGATGGTTGGTGCAAATATTAGGTAACAAAAATAATTTAATTTATTACTTAAAAATAAAATAAATTTAAATAATTTATATAATTTGTTTATTTTTTAATTTCTTTAAAAATATCTCATTTATTTTAGCGAGGAACAGTTAACTAGTATTGCAGAAAGAACTATAGTAGAGGCTGATGAGAATGGTGATGGAATGATTTCATTTGAAGAATTTTGTAAAGCATTAGAGAGGACAGATGTAGAACAAAAAATGTCTATACGATTTCTTAGTTAATTTATTTTTTTCTTCAAATAATGCACAATTTGCTGATGTGTTGGGCATATATATTAAAATTTATAATAATAATGAATATAACAGTTTATTTTTTCTTATATATTTTCATTTATTTTACATGAAAAAAAGTTGAAGTTATGTTCAGTATTTAATGATACAATGAAAGGTAAGATAGTAAAGTTCCTTTTTTTTTTTTTTTAAACTGTTATTCAAACAGCTGTAATTTTAATTAATAAAAAATGATACAATTATACGATTTTTACGATTTATAATATATATATAAATTCCATAGTTATTACAGATTTTGTTAACCTACAGTTTACAACATTTAATTTATTATTTGTCTTGTTATACTGCTTACATTTTCCAAAGAAAAATATGATAACATTTACTATGTATTACATTTACATAAACAAGTACTATTGGAAAATAAGTTATGCTATTGATGACATTAAAAAAATGGGAAATATGAATGTAAAATATGTATTACACAAATACTATGTATTTTATTTGTACATGAATTATATCTTGACTTCAAAAAAAATATTGAGGAATTATATTTAATTAATCGTACATTTTCGATATAATGAAAATTCTTACTGCATTTATTTTATCTTTCTTAATAGATTGTAACTATCGGTACCTCATTATATTCCAAAGCATTAAAATTTGCGTATGCAAAACAATGAGGAATATTTATTTTATTTTTATAATAATTTAAGCCGTGGATGACACAGCTAATTTTTTTAAATGCTCCATGAATACTTGTAAACTGACATCATCAGTTAAGACAGGCGCTCCACTTTCCTAAATTACAATAAAAATTAATTAAAAATTATAATTAATAATCAATAAAATGAAGAGAAGCTAATAAGTTTTATTGCTAAATAAATAAATAAATAAATAAATAAATAGATTAAAGTTAATTATAATTCATAAAAATGTATTTTGTGGACAAAGATTTTTTTGATGCCAACCACCAGTGAATTGTGATAATACTGTTGCAAAAAACTGTTAAAGTGTGTAGAATTTTATGCTTGCCTTATAGTGAAATCGTGTTAAATAACGTGAGATAATTTAAAACGATTTAATATTGATATTTTTATAGCGATAGTTTTGGAGTAATAGTTAATATTTGTTAGTTACTTTTTACTACTGTTAAAAAATATTATGATGAAAAAAAAAATAAATATTTTATCGTATAAATAAGAAATATTAACTATTTAAATTTCTAAATTTTCCCCACTAATTCCATTACCAAAGCAATAAAAGCAAATATAAAGAAAAAAAATATAATTATCAAATGAATGTAAAACACACCCCACTGGGTATCGGCATCCCCTGGTTGCAGGATCACGATGACATGAAAAGATTATTAATTACATATGGTTGATTAAAATGTTTAATTCGTTGAAAATGAAAAATAAATAAAATAGTCTAATATGAATAAATTTGATGTTGAAAATGTATTTATATTATTAAGAATAAAAATATTAAATAATGTACTTACCGCTCCATAAGCATACATATTATTATGAGTTTGACTTGGATTCACTTTGCTCAATAAAAACCTTGCTTGTGAACCACCTTGTTCAGTATCGATATATCTAGGTGCAGGGAACCGTTCGGCTAATATTTCAGCAGCATCATCAACAGGTGCTGCCAATAATTGTCGGAAATTTTCATATTCTGGCAAATCTTGATATTTTAATTGACGCCATTGTGCAATGGTCTGTAATAAATTAATATACATTGTAAGCATATTATCATTAATCATAAACAATGATAAATAACTACCTCTCCATGGAATATAAGGATTTGGAAGAAAGTATCCATCAATAAAATTCTATCTGGCTGAATAGATGATGTATCTAATAAAACTGGTTCCGGAGGGCCACTAAATCCATAACTGTACAAAATTGGCTGTACCATTATCAAAGAATTTGTTAAATCTTCTCTCATGAGCATATGTCTATAATATTTAAAATTTAATTAGTAATAATATTTCAATTGATTGAAACACGAAAATATAATAATAGCTGACCTATAAAAACTAGTTTCATCGGGAGAATTATTAAATACTTGTAGAAATTGCGATCTACGCAAATGATACATAAATTGAGGATATAAAGAAAAGTTTTCTGCAAGTCTAAAACTATTTGGATCATCTTTTGTGTATTCTCCAAATTTCTGGCACTATAAAAGAAATGCTTAATGTTAGAAATATTACATATATTATATTAAATGTTAAATATAAATTTAAAACTGAAAAAAATACAAACTAATCTAATAAGCATACGATCGACCCATCTTAAAACATCTGGTCCATCGTCACTTTCTGCCCTAAATACAGCTAAACGCGACATGAGAACAGCGGCTGCTTCTTGATCAAATCCAGCACTTATATGATGTAAAGATGTCGATGCATCTGCCCAACTATAATCGAAATTATTATGATTAAAAGGTAATAAAAATTAACAATAACAATTAATAATTTTAATAAATATATTAACATACTTTCTAGCAATTGTAGTAACTCTGATTCTTCGTTGACCGCTACTATGTTGATACTGTGTGATAAATTGAATACAGCCTCTTCCACCTTGAGGAATTGGTGCTGTATGTTGATTGACAACTTCGAAAAATAATGCTGTAGTAGTGGAAGGTGTAAGGGAACAAAATTTCCACTGGCATGTACCACCTAATCCTACTTCTTGTTCTCCGACACTTGATCCTTTTACTCCTAGAGATACGCAGGGCCCGATCGCACCGGAAACTTTAATTTCTCGTGACGTTTTCACTTCCAATGTTGCATTAAATGCCATTTTCAAATCGCCTTTATGATCTTTAGCAAACACACGTTGGAATGTTTGCTTGAATAGAGAAGAATTGAAAGAATCTCCCATAAGCATATGACCACCAGTTGAATTGCAACATTGTCTCATTTCTAATAGACCGGTTTGATCGAGAGCGCACGAATAGATATCTATTATGTGACCGTTTGTTGCAGCGCGTGACGCGAGAGAATCATAATGTTTAGTTGCCTTTTTCATATGTTTAGCGTTATCTTTTTGAATATCATGATGCGATCTAATAGGTTGTCGTAAGTCATCCGTTACGACTTGACCAGGTCCTTGAGAACAAGGTCCACCCACAAATAGCATTATCCTAAAAATAATAACGTATATTTTTATTCAAAATATTCGAATAAAAAATTTATAATCGAAACATATACCTAGCTCCTGTATTAGCATAACTAGCTTCTAAAAGACCAGTAGCAACAGCTAGTGCAACACCCGTCGATCGCAATGGACGTTTTCCTGGCCCGATCGGCCATGGATCTCGTTGAAGTTCTCCCAAAAGATCTGTTAAACTCATATCACATTTATGTACAGGTTGTAAAAAACGATTTGCTGCTGGTAATGGTTGTCCACCAGGTCCTCTTTGTTGATTTGGATTTTGACCTGGTATTGGCCGACCTATACCTATAAATCGTGATAATAAATATCTCTTTTGTACAGTTACGTTTTATTAGAAAAATATACCTAGCATATCTTGAACCTGTTTTGGTTGTAAATCTTTAGTACCACGAAAAACATAACTTTTACTGCATCCTTCACAACTTAGTTCATGTACTTGTACCATTCTTCCAAATGTAATAAGACCAATTAGAGCATTAGGTGGAAGTAAAGAAAGTGACATTTGTAAAGAATCTTTGAGAGAACCTAGTTCTTCGTCATCCATACATGTATCCACAACCAGTAAAAAAATAGGTGGTAAACACTGTGCTCTCTATTCAAAAATAATAATAATTAATATCTAATAAAAAAAACTACTAATAAAAATAGTATTTTATTTTGACATAAATATTGTTTACCATTATGGTATATTCAATAGTTGAAAACTTTGGAATTAATTCAGCTGGTTGATGTTGTTCTGAAATGGCAGCATATTGTGGAGGAAACTGAAAATATATTATATATCAAATATTATTTTATTACAAGATAATTATGTTTATTTTTATAATCAATATGATTTAATTCTTACAGGATTTCTTTGAAAGCATAGATTGCACACCCATAATTTAGCACGGTAATCGACTTGGCATAATGGATTTAAAATTGCTCTACATGTAGATCTTGTACAAAGAACAGGATCATATTGTATTGGTGGGAGATCTGGCCTTTCTTTGATCGGTTGATAAAGTGTTCCTAAGGGCACAACAAGTCTAGTAGCATCTACACGTGATGAGGGCCAAACATTCCAAGTAATACGTATTCCATCACGGTCTTCATTTTGTTGAATGAAATCTTCATAAGTAGTCATGTTGCTATAATCAAGAAATATCAGATAATAAAAATAACATTCAACTTTAATCCTTAATATTCATATAATTTTTAAATATGTGACAAGTGTAAAGAATGTATAAATGATTTTAGGTTAAACATACCTAATTAAGTCAACGATGACTATCGTGTACTTTTAATTATAAGCTTGAGATAATTTTAAATAATCTTTACTATCAAGTTCTCATAATTACAGCATTATTTTACAATTGAATTAAAAGGACACTACTTCACCGTAACAGTACAACTCGTGCCGTCATTGAAGCCACGTCACTTGAAAGCTTGGAAGAACTACTATGGCGCATGCGTACAATGTCTTAACGTCAAAGGCGGTATTCGTATTTATATACATATATATATATTTGTGGTAAACAAAATTTGGGCATCATATAAAATTAAAAATATATATATTTCATAAAAAAGACATATAAAAAAATAAAAAATATACAAATGCATCAAAGTAATCACAGTATATAAATACAGATATATATGTAATATATATATACAACATATAAAAATATGCAAATATTATCTCTTTCTTATTTTTATTAAAAAAGATCTTAAATCTTTTTGATCTAGATTGTCACAAGTGGATTGATATTTATAATGTTATAATTTGTAAAACAAATATAGACAAGGAGAGGAAATAGGAGAGAAAAGGACAGAGATAAGATAAAAATATTGAAATCAACGCCATCTTTAGAGTGCCGCTTTAAATGAAACTCAATAAAGAAAGGAGAGGAAATAAAAGAAAAAAGAGATAGGGCAAGAATTGACCATTAGTGTCATCTCTTGAATAAAGATTTTAGACTAAGATAAAAATTAAAGATCAATGCCATCTTTTGAATACGAAAGAAATCTCTACATAAATACTTAACTAATAGCGTCATCTTTTTGAAAGGTGTTCAACGATGCTTATGAAATATTTCTCATACTCAAGAGATGGTACTAAAGGTTAATTCTTATCTCTATCTTTCTCCATCTATCTTCTATCCTTTCTTTATTAAGTTTTATTTGCGGCACTCTGAAGATGGCGTTGATTTCAATATTTTTACCCTATTTTTGTCCTTCTCTGATTATTTCCTCTCTTTGTCTATACTTGCTCTACATAATTTATGAGCTTAAGAGACGGCTCCGATATATGATTTTTTTACACGATCAGTATTTTAAAACGTAGGACACAAAATAGCATTAAAAGTATATCTTATATATCGTTTGTGATATAAATAATTACGTTTTGCAGTTAAGAAAGAGTAGGGATTCATTCAACCAATCAGCCGCAAAGTGATAACCACTGATTCTGAATAGAACAGAGTGAGTCGAGTGTTTACCGTCCGTATTTACTATTACTACGATATTACTAAGCTAAGTTTGTAAAAAATCGAGATATCAATATTTCTGCGTACGTATTACGGTACGATATCTGGTCAAATCTCCATGTCACGTATACTACAAGTGTTGATTTTCGACTAACCTCTGACACGGTGTACGTCGTCCGTAAAAATGGATAAAAGGTACGTCGTGATATTTTGTATGATTCGTTCGATTCATAATCGTTAATATCTTTTTAATCTTAACAAATTTTTAGCAAATTGGATACATCTAGGTCAGGGTATCGTGAGGATATCTCTAGTCATTCTAAAAAAAATAAGAAAAGATCAAGTAAAAAAAATAACATACTTGGTTTATGGATGAATAACATGCAAAACAATCAAAATAACGACATGGTACCTGGAATGGAGTATCAGCATTTATTATGGCAGTCCAATGTACAACAAAACTTTTCGAACAATGGACAACGTCTTTTTACAACAACATCCGATCCTAGCATGTGTGGCTATACACAGATGCCCATGACATATACCATGGAACCTGTTTCACTTCCAACCATGTATAGGCTATATCAACCAGTACCGTTTTCTGGCATTAGAACTGTTCACGGTAGACCCAGACGGCATTGTAATCAAAATTTTCCAATGAATATGAATATGAATTCTATGGGGAATGGTTACTCAAGTTTACAAGAAAATGGAGTAGAATCTTCTGTGCCTATTAATTATCAAAATGGAGATTATGCAAGCTTGCCACCTACTGGTAACAAGAATAATGAAATAAATGGGGATGAGCCAAATTCAGAGCATCGGAGGTATTCAGATCCTGGTCTTGGATCCGCAGAAGCTCCAGTTCAAACTCAGAGCGAAGATTCTGATAGCATCGATAGTGGAAGCTCCATTACTACAGTTGGACGTAGCAATAAGCTTGTCTTATCTCTTATCGAACAGGTGGATATATAAATTATATATATTTAAAATGTAACAGATATATATTAATAATCGTACAATTTTGCTTTCAGATGACAGAACTGAAGAAAGGCAATAGTCAACTGTTCAAAGAGTTGAATGAAACAAAATCGGAACTAGGCAGTATGAAAGCAAAACTAGCACAATGTAAATATAGCGGCTCTTCAGATTATCAACCAGGAATGTTATCAGGTAAATATTAACAAAAGTTGTTATAGCAGATTATTCCTAGAACCTCTTTGAATTTTTTTGAAATTAATCCAATTTTATGTTTTGTATTAATATTAATACAAACGATAATACAGTTGCAATATAATATAAATAACACAAAATAACACGAATATTTTAATTCCTTCAGATTTTATTCGCGAAATCAGACAAGCCAACAAAACATGCGAGGAGGGATTGATTTCGAAAGTAAAATCTATGGTGGAGGAAAAACTAAACCAAAGATCGTTAGAAGTGGTAAATTTAAACGTAAGTATTAATTTTATATCTTCATACAAGCTC